CTCAACAGTAGAATAGTGCCATTAACAAGTAGTCAAATTGTACTCTTTGGTGAGTAAAGAAAGGCAAAACAAAATTTAGGTTTATGTTGTTAAAGGCATCATTATTATCTTGTGATGGTGTTAGTGTATTTCTTTATGGAGAATGTTGAAAGATAAATCTGGTATATAATAAGTCCTTCCCTAAACCAAGATGTTAATACAAATATTTATATATTGTGTTTGAATGTTATTACTGTTCAACTCTATTAGATTTTACAATTATATGTGAAATGATGTTTAGCTATAGTGAGAACAGCTAGTTAATATAACAGTTATTGACATTTGAGCATTCTGTGAAATTGCATTTACAAGGACAAAAAAATCAAATAAAACATAGATGATTATAAACGAATGCAGGTTTAATGTAAAAATAATTAAATTTTTATAGGGCATTAATGCCTGCATCTTCTGTCTGTTTGAGAACTAGTAAATTGACTGCCAAAGTTTATTTTGAGATTTTTCCATCTTCATTGTGGTAAGGGGTGATTTTTATTAATATTTATTTGTAGCAAATCAAGCAGAAAAGAGAAACCAATTTTCACCAGGCTCTGGACGACAATCAATGTACGGTTTAAAAAAAAAATAACTGAATTATGAAAGACAAAAAATATATGAGATCACAAAGTAACGCATAGGCAACAACCCTACCACGTAGAGACAAAAGGCCAGCGGGAAAGGTCTTCAAAGAGACTATTATAATTTTTATCGAAGACACAACACAACGTACAGCAGCGAAATCTTGGCTTTTCTACAGTACGAGTTCAAAAACTCACTGGCAGCGGTGGGATTCGAACCCACGCCCCCGAAGAGACTGGAGCCTTAATCCAGCGCCTTAGACCGCTCGGCCACGCTACCCGCTGGGAGCCACACGCTGGCGTATTCAGTATCTTTCAATATCTTCCTCTCCTTTCACCCTGTGGCCGATAGCTTTGGCGTTTCCCCGGTCCTCCATAATCCTTTTCCCTCAGGGCCTGTTTGTTTTCTTCTTTGAAGTCACACTGCTTGAGACTGGTGGAAACAGCGGCGACACCCGTCTTGTGGTGCGTCGCGAGAGGCCGATCTGTCAGCTTCAACTTGCACCGAGAGCCTGTCCCGAGTGGGGCACAGCGGGCGCCCCGAGAGCGAGTCCTGTCCGGGGGTCCCCCGGGCGGGCGTCCTGCGACGAGGGCTTTCCCCAGGCCGCGGGTGCCGAGTCTGGGGCCGTCCGGAGCCTGGGCCCCGGCCCTGGCCCAGAGGCGGGGCTGCTCGCGGGCGGCGACCTGCAGCGGCTGAGGCAGGAGGGAGACGCCCCGCGGGGCGGAGCGCGGGCCGGGGGGTGTGGAGCCCGCGAGCGCGAGGAACCTCGGCCCAGGACGCGCTCTCGGCCGGCGCGGGGTGGGGGGTCGGGGGGTGGAGGGCGGGGGGGGGGGGTCGGGGGCGCACAGGCCTGGGGAAGCCCTCCCGGGAAGGCGTGATCACCCCCCGCGGGGCCCCCTGTCCCTGACGGCCGCTGGCTCACTCTGAAGTGAAAACGTGGGGTGAAATTATCCCCCTTGATCCCTGAGGTTTTATCCTTCAAAAAGATGAGCAGCTTGGAAGGGATCATGCTCAGCGAAATAAGCCAGAAAGAAAAAGAAAAATAGCGGATGGTCTCACTCATAGCAGGAATCTAGAAAACTTAAATAAGGGACCAGGAAAAAGAATAACTATAAGAAAGAAAATATCAAAATCAACAAACAACTATGAACCAGAGACACACTATGGGGGTGGGGGCGGGAGGGAGGGATTGGGGTCAAAATAAGGGGATTGCAATTGTATGGGGAATATAAAAATAAAATTTATTAAAAAAAAAAAAAAAAAAGATGAGCAGCTTTCCATCAGGCGGCAGCCATCAGGTGAGCCACAGTGGGCGCTGGCCGGTGCACCCAGGCGCTGTGGAGGAAGAAGCAGTCTTCTGTTTGGCGCTTTCTTGTCGGGGTGCGCTGCCGGCAGTTTGCCAGGCGCCAGCCCCTCCACAGGGCACCCCCCCCCCGCCTCCCCCTCCCCCCCGCCGGATAAAGCGTGCAAACCGGGCTACCAGGCCAAGCAAGGTTATGTCAGATCGCGGATTCGCATGCAAAGTGGAGGTCGCCACCGTGCAGCTCCAAGGGGTGCGACCTGAGGCAGCCTGTCCGTCGTGGCATTAATCAGCTGAAGTTTGCTGGAAACTTTCACTCTGTTGCCGAGGAGTGAGCTGGAGCCACTGTGGGGCTCTGAGAGTCCTAAATTCTTACTAGGTCGAAGAGTCCACATACACATTTCTTGAGGTTAGCCTCACCCATCCATTCCATAAAGCTATCAGAGGAAATCGTGGCACCCAGGACACCCGTCCACAAGCCGGGGAGACAGGGGGTGGGGGTGCTGACATCTGCAGGCCGTGTGAGCCCTAGTCTTGGAAAGGGCCACAAGTTCCACCACACAATCAGCGGCAATGCAGCTTGGAGAAGGCGTAATACTCCCCAGTTCCACCGTTACTTGTCGTTAATAAGTAATGTTTGTAATATTCTTACCTACCTAATAAACAACGTAAGACAAAAAATAAAAAAGAGCTGTGGTGTAGGGACATCGCCTCCGGGATCTGGGCAAGGGAGCGTGCAATGACTAGTTTGTCCACTAGGCGTCACCTTATGCTCGTGGTGGTTAGAAAAAGTTTACAAGAAACTGTGGACGTGGCTAAAACTTTCTTTACTAAAGTTTTAAAAGCCACCCTTCTGTCACTAGTGGCTCGTTGGTCTAGGGGTATGATTCTCGCTTAGGGTGCGAGAGGTCCCGGGTTCAAATCCCGGACGAGCCCAGTTTTTGCCTTCTGCTCAGTCATCTTGCTTCCCACCACCTCCAATAAAACCTTGGGATAATTACAGTTAAACATCATCATACTAATTACGTATAGTCTCTATGTAATGTTACTGTATGTACGCCAATTTGTGATATTATTTCAGGCCTTTATTCTTAATCTTTCAACAACTGCTCCTTGTGTTATTAAAAGCACAAGGATAAATACCAAATGTTATTACATAAAGTTTATATAACATGTTTCTACAAAAATCATTATTCCTGTAGACAGTCATTTCTCTTTGGAGCCACATATACTATGATCAAAGCATTTTCAAAACGAATGTAAGGACAGGGGCCTTGCCTAGGGCAACCTCCCTTCAAGCTGATCTCCCCGGGGCTGACACAGAGCGACAGTCATTTCTGAGATCCAAATAAAGTTAAAACAAAAAGAAGTGTCATGGTTTGCCCCCAGGGGAGAACAGTACCCTTGTTCATAGCCTGGGGCTTTAACTGCAAGGCAGAGATTGATAGCTTCTGATTTAGAACATGTCCTGCCTTTGATCAGATGCAGGTGGTTCTTGGACATAGGCAAGCTCTATTCTGTTCTCCTAACCTGGACAAGGTAACAGGGGGTAGGGAGAAGCCAGTAGTAAGCATGCTCAAGGCTGGGGAAGGTACTGCATGAATCTTGTACTAACACCTCTTTAAGAAACAGTTCTTCAGTTGCCAAAGGCAGCCAATGACTCCCTCCAGAATAGGAGTACTTCATGTCTTTTCTTTTGGGGGCAATAGCAAATGTTCTTGATTTAGGGACATGCTCCACCACACAATCATCAAATTTATTCTTCTATGTTTTCTTCTTAAAAAGCATTTATTTGGGGCACATTTAAATGGTTCTGAGTTCCTGAATGATTGCATGAATAGGACTTGCTGTGCCCACCTGGAACTTACTTTGAAATGTAAGGACAGGCCTAGCTGCTTCAGTTGAGGGTAAATTTTGGTTTAAGGATGGCCTGTCTGTAAATTTAGTGCAACATCAGGAAGTCGAAGTCCTGTGGCAGGAAATAACAAACATGCTAAAATGTCGATATATTTTTCTTTATATAATGTAAATGTATGTTTCCACAAGATGGCAGGCAAATCAAAATGCACTGAGTGGGAAATCTGTCGATGAACTCTGCACTTGTATCTTTGTAGCATTGTGCAACCAATATCCAAAATGGAACAGTTTGAATTCTGAAAAGATACCTATCATGAAAGGTTTTGAAAAGTAAATAATAGCCCCCTGGTTGTTCATATTCACGATCTAAAGGTACACTTTGATGTTGAATTAGAAAAACACACATTCTTCAAAATCTTTTCCAGAATCCTCTATCCTAAGACAAATTTTCTCTCCAAAATGCTTTCCTTTTTCCCAATTAGAAAGACATAAATACATTCATAAATACATTCACAAGAGACTATGTAGCTTCTCTCCATTAGAGAAATCATTTCAGGGAAAGATGTAGTAAAATTTAGTTATTTACCCACTCCTGTATCAAATACCCAGGAGATGGTGGCAACAAAAAGAATTATACTGTCTCAATTCTTTGAGTCAATGTCTTTTACCAGACCTTCATCCACTAATTTCCCATGTAGTTTTCCCAATGATACCATTGGTCTGTAGTTCCCAAATTTACTGTATATTAGAATCATTGGGGTAGCTTGTCATAATCCCCAAGCCCAGGGAACACACAATTATAGCAGAATGTCTCATGGTGGCAGGTAAAATGCCCAGTGGATTGCAACAGTCCACAGAGTTTTGGAACCATTGCTGTCCTCTCCAGGAGTCCAGGACTTTATCAAGCATTATGTGACTGTCAAGGAATTATCCCTGAAACTTGCCCTCTCAGGGTGAAACTCTCCCTAGTCTTGTCATCTCACATCTCCACCTTAACTTTTCTGCAACTCATTTCTTCATTAATGAAGTGGAGATAATAGCTACTTCGCAGGTAGTTAAGAACTGACTCTAATAAATGTTTTGAAAAGTTCACGTTTGTTTAATGAGGACATGGTCAGGACCTGCCTTATCCAACCCTCCCTCTGAGGCTTATTTCCTTCCCAAAGGCACCGGAAGTCTGCCTCCACGCCCCTCCCTTCCTGCTCGCCCCACTTTTGCCTGCCCCACACTCAGCTGGCTCCCTACCAGTTTGTCAGGGAACAGCAAGACACCAGGGTTTTCTCAGATCACGATCACAAGGAAATGTTACCTGTCAGAGCTACGGTAAAAATCAAAGGTGAGAGCAGTTAGAACCTAGTAGGAGCAGCATGAGGAGAGACTGGCAAGGAGCTGGGGAGAAAGGATTAGCAGACGGTGCTGAAAGGCTGGAACTGGGTGTTGTTATAGGTGAGACAATTATGAGAAAGGAAACCCCTCAGCAATAGGAATAAACTGGCATGTTCCGCTCTATATGAAGCACTTGGAGGGGTTTAGGGAAACAGATGAGACAGCCTGTTAAGGAGACTGTGGAGGCAACATGAACCCCACACATGAGGAGGAATTAGGGTACAGTGCAACTCCTGGCCCTGAGAGCAGAAATCGTCAGAAAGAGCTTTCTCTGGAAGCTGTTCCCCTAGCTGGATCTGTAGGATCAATATGATTTTCACTAGCATAGAGGAGGACATAAAATATCCCAAGGATGATGGAGCAAAGTCAGGGGGTGGGGCTGGAGCAATCTGATTACCCTTTGCTACATTTTGTCTTCTCTTAAAGTATAGGAGTTAGAGCAAAAAGTGTGAAGGATGTCTTACCTGTGATGATATTAATGGTGATGATTTTCCTGCTGCTTCTGTTCTGGGAAAATGAGTTGAATGAAGACGTCGTGAACTCGAGCTTAGAGCACTTGCACATGGACTACCCTAAGGAAGTTCTCGGAAGGTACTGCAATGCCAAGATCTTACAAAGGATCATCAGGGAGCCCAACAACTCCTGCAAGAAGGAACATGTCTTCATCCACGAGAGGCCTCGAAAAATCAACAGTGTTTGCAATTCTCCCAAGAAAGTGGCTTGCCAGAACCTTTCCACCATTTTATGCTTCCAGAGTGAGATAAAGTTCAAAATGACAGTCTGTCAGCTCATAGAAGGTACCAGATATCCCGCCTGCAGATACCACATCTCCCCCATAGAAGCCTTTATTCTCATCACTTGTAGCAACATAGGGCCAGTTAATTTCCAGGGATATGTCAGATAACTTGAGACCAGTCTCTGAGTCTCTTCCCTGGAGAAGCTGGTTCTCTGAGGCACAGCTGAACAGTGGACGGAGGGTAATGCTTTAAGTAGCATGAGTAGCCAGTGGTAATTCATCTATTCTTTCAGTATTGCTGAGTGGTTTATTTTATTGTTTCAGTCATAATAATTATAATAACCTGTTGCTGATTTAAACTATAAACTCTGTGTGTGTTTTAATTCCTCGTCCCTTTTCTTTGGTAATTTGATGAGAGCCAAGAATGAGTCCTAGGCAGGAATCGGGTTAAGGAGAAGTGATTGAAAACTTCATGTGAATGTTTTAGGGCACCACACTCCCCTCTCCACCCCGGTAATCTTGTAATTTATAATATTGTAAAGACTCAAAGTTAACGCAAAAATCCTTGATGAACTAAATACCTAAATCTTAAATCAAGACCTAACTTGATGGGGTTGGACTGAGGGCAAAACAAGTTATGTGAGTTGCACCAGAGCCAGTTCAGATCCTGTTATTTAAATTTTGATATTTGTTCATCAGGGATTACCTTGTATTAAATTTATGTTTGAAATGCTGCATTAAAATATTACTTATTTTGATTGCTGGTCTTTTTCTTAGCCTTCCTCTCCCCCGCCCTTAAATTTTGTAACTGGAGCAAGTGTCCCATCATCTCACCCTAATCCCACACTGGATCCTAGGGGTAGAGGCAATTGGGATCACCCCTTAGGGTCTTCTCTAAAGGTGGAGTATATAATGCAAACTGCATCTGCTCCTATTCCTTGGTTCCCTCTTTCCTTCAAAGAAAGGGAAAAGGAGATCAGAAAGATCCTGACTGGTCAGAAACCATTTCTCTTAAAGACAGTGGAGAGAAATGGAAAAGGATTTCTCAGAAAGAGATTGAGACCCTCAGAGCTCAGTGTGTCTCCTCTTTGCGCACCCAGAAGGAACTCAGAAGACTTTGACCTGGACTGCTGACTGCTTTCCCCTTTCAACTCCTAAGACTAGTTGGTTGTTCAGATCTCTCACTTTCAGGAGGGTCCAGGGTCTTTAGATTTAGAGGGTGAAAGCAAAGAAGGAAGGCAAAGAGGCTCCTAATTCTAGGAATCTTATCAAGTCCTGTTCCTCTTTGGGCACTGGTTTCCTCCTCTGTCGAGTGCCTAAACTAGATCATCTTTGAGGCGACTTCCAGGTATATGATTTCACAATTCTGTCTCTTAGGTTCTGTAGAAACTGGCCTTGTTGGGGGGATGGGTTAGTACTGGGAAGTACTAAGAAATAAAAGTAAATATGGTAATTTTAGGACAGATTAGAGGGTCACTAATTCTGAGCTATCACAGGTCCGTCCCACAAGAACCAGAAAAACATAGAGTGCTGGAAAATGTGCATTGCTCCATGCACAAGCTTTAGAAGGCCTTTTCTGTTCTGTTCTTTTCAGCTGAGAGACTTCAACTATTGCATTATTCATTTGGATTTAATTCAAGATCATTGTCAAGTTCTAACTGCTTACACTTAGGGAGGGAGGAGGGTGACAGTGTCAGTACAGGACCATCTGTAACCCTGTAAGCAGGCAAGGCTCACCTATTGCAAGTTATGGTTGAGTTTCATTACCCATTTCACTGTGGGATCCCCTGGCACACCTGTCTTCATTGAGACTTAGATGTCACCAGGGAGAAGAGTCCTCAGTAACTGGGTAGAAATTAAGCAGGAACAGGAGATCCTTGCAGATGACTTACTGGTTTCTGGAAATCAAATATAATTTAAAAATATACAAATTCAGGGCCTCCCCTGGTGGTGCAGCGGTTGAGCGCTGGGCTACAAAGCTGCCTGCAGCCTCTGCAGCGCTGGTTTGATCCCCCGCCACCGGAGAGGGTCCCACACGATGCAACAGACCTCTCCTGCTGCATCCGCTGCTCCCCTCAGTAGTGTATTTCTTCAGTCTGCCTGTTCTGCTCCCCACTCTGGCTCTGGTGAATTCTCTCACTCTCCCGCGCTTCTGACTGTACCCAGTGCTTGTATAAATAAATAAATAAATATTTTTAAAAAATAAAAAATACAAATATACAAATCCATGTACAGTAATGTCAAATGAGTGGCATCCTTTCCCTGGATGACACTTTAAAATTGTGGAAACATGTCCTTTAGAATCTGTTTCTATTCTAAATTCTGATTCTCTTTTGTATCCTTCTCCTTAGACTTCATCGCCTTTTCTTTTCTTTCTAGTGCTGTTTCTCCCCTCCCTCCCCAAACTCACCAAACTTCTAATTAAAAACAGAACCTTATAGGCGCCTTCCTGGTGGCACAAGGGGTTAAGACACAACGTATGAAGCTACCCTGAAGCCACTGCAGCATGAGTTCAATCCCCAGCCAGGGAGGTGACCCACATGGTGCAGCAGACCTCTCCTGACTCGCCCACTGCTCCCCTCAGCAGTGTATTTCAGTCAGTCTACCTGTTCTGTTCCCCCCTCTGTCTCTGGTGAATCCTCTCACCCCCCCCATACCTCTGGCCTCTACCTCAATTATTATATGCATAAATAAATAATCTTTAAAAAAAAAAGAATCTTACAGATAAGTGCATTCCTGTTAAAGTGTAAATAACAGACTATTCAATGGAATCTGTCCTTACAGTATTTTCATCCAATAGGGATTAAAGCCCAATTGAAATGAATTGTGACATTGTACACATTTGTGGTTTGGGGAGAAGTATTATTTTTAAGTGGCTCCTAGTGGCCCAAATCAAAGCCAGATAGCTGTGCATTCTGTCCACTTGACATATGTTTCAGAAAAAATGGGAATCTCAGCACTGCCCTACTTCTTCATTGTCTTGCTGTTTTCCTGCTGTCCCCTCTTTATGGTGGAAGATTCTTAGAAACTATCCAAATCTTACTGCCTCCAAAAAGGAAATATGCACCAAGTTTATGGTCAAAACACACACATGAACACACCTATTTAATTCTTAATAATCCAGCAGTAATCAACCAACTCAGTTACTAAGGTAATACACATGAAAACATTTAAAATCAAATATAATGAAAATATATATAAGTCCATGTGTACTAATGTCAAATGAGTGGCCCAAGAAGTGATGATAAGTCGTCAAGAGAAATGAGAAATAGATTTGGTAGACTTAAGGGGCGAGAAAATGTGTCAAAGAAAGAATGGGATCTGGGATCTGAATCGGACTTTGAAGAATTTCTTAAGACATTTTTAAAAAAAAGATTTATTTCTTATTTATGCGTGCAAGAACTGGGGTGTAGGCCAGAGTTGCAGGGGATGAGAGGATTCACCAGAGACAGAGGAGGGAGCAGAACAGGCAGACTGACTGAAATACACTGCTGAGGGGAGCAGTGGGCAATACAGGAGAGGTCTGCTGCGCCATGTGAGTTAGCTCCCTGCTCAGAGATCGAAGTCATGCTACAGTGACTGGTGCTAGTGCTGACTTTAACTCCTGCACCACCAGGGAGGCCCTATAAGGCAACTTTTAAATTAGGAATGAGAGAGCAGATTTTATTCCTCCACCCAAATTGACACTTAAATGATGTAAAAGCCATGTGAATAAAACCACGTCTCATTGTATTTCCAAACAAATTTCAGATATTTGAACATCTAGAGAGAAAAATAAATACTTCAAAGCACCAGAAAAGAGTGTGGTGAAAATGTATGTGCTTCAGGAGTGCAAATGGACATGAAGAAGCATGAAAGTATACATTAGCACTGGCGCAGTAAGTAGTCTAAGACTACAAAAAAAAAAAAAAGAGGGGCCCTGGGCTGGCCTCAGCACTCTCCTCAATGGTCACAAAGTCACAGGAGCCAGAGCTCCACTGTCCACACACGTGCTGTCCTCTTGTCTCAGCCCAAGATGTCCCAGAGGCTCCGGGTTTTCATATACCTAGGATGTGTGCGGGGCCCCCGGGCTGCCCCACTGGCTTGTCCTTCTCAATAGACTCCCTGGAGCAGAAGCTGAGTGTGCAAGCAGCTGGGAGGAAAGGCTTATGAGTGTGCTCACACCAAGCGTGCCCGCTCTCACATCACCATTTCCAGGACTTTTTCCTTTTCTGTTTCATTCTCTGAGCTCAAGCTTCAGTTTTCCTGTTATTTCCACTTGCTGATGTGTGCCCCTGCACCTACCTTCCCGTATCTCTGCCATTCTCTGCCCTTTCTTATTCACGTACATTCAAACGTGAATCCAGCCAGCAACCAGGGGCTCTCCATCTCCATCCTCATGGAGGTCAGGGTCTCAGTTGACCCCTACTAGACAATCAATCAGCTGCCCGAGGGAAGGACTTCTGTCAGGGCACAATGGACTGAGAATTCCCAGGAAAATCCTTTGCAGTGCGTGCTAGGGTTCAGGAAATGTGTTCAGTTTATCTCAGCCTCTGTGGCTCCTAGCCATTCTAGGACTCCCCATGTAAGTGGTCTCCCTATTTCTGTTTGCCTCTTCTGAGTTAGGAATGCACATGGAGAAGAAGGTAGAGTCCTGCCTCAGGAAAAGAAACTGACTGACCTGGCTATAGAATAGCAGTTAAGGAAAGAGATGGGGAAATAAGACAGATTTGTATCCTGAACTGAACCAGGATTTGGCCAGATCTTAAATTACAGATTTTTAAGAAACTTTACAAAGATTTCTAATTATGACAAAAACATAAGCAATACTAAAAATAGTATCTTTATCATCAGAGTGTTTGGGTGATGATGATAATGTTTATATAATGGTTAGCACAGGGCTTAACACAGGAATGCTTAATAATTTGGCATTATTACTTTTTTTTTATATATCACGGTGACACCTAAAATATATTTATCTCAGCTTCTTCAACTTCCATTTTTTTCCCCTTCATACTCCAAGCCTTTGCACTTGTAGGGCAGGATAATACCACGCTATCTGGATCGCTCCAGCAGAGCGCTGGAATTATCCACTTTCTGAAGCAGGTAAGATGAGGACTCAATGAGGTAAGGTGACCACAGAATGGCCTGGAGATCGGCATTCCACTAGATGTAAAATACCCAGCTTTCCTTTGAGGAACGCCTCTTTGGAGTAGTGGTGATTGATAGGCTGCATGGACTAGCAGGGGAGAAAGGATCCACCCTGCACTCATCTAGGAAAGATGACATTTTCCCCTAGAGTAGACGTTCCTTCATCTTTAGCATAGAGCACAGTACCTAAGACACCTCTGTTACTGCTCAGACTCCTGCAAAGAAAGTCTTGAAAATTCAGTAATCATAATTCTCATGAATTATGATTGGCCCATTGGCCCCTATGAACCTTGCTTGATCCCTTCTCCAAGGACATCGGCAGTCACAAGTGAGCAAAAGAAAAAGTGGAGAGAAAACAATGTTCCTTGACTGCAGAGCCCCCTGCGAGATGTTCGTGGGGGGAGGGAAGGTCACCTGAGTCTCTCAGGGCAAGTTCTGAATTCCTGAGACATGACCACAGGCGATTGTTTCAGATGAAGTGGGCATGTGAGCCTCTTCTGCTGCTGCCCCACTGCTGTCCTCTCCTCCCTTCTCTTCTTCCAACCCTCAAGTCTCCCTGCTCTCT